GAGGCCAAGAAGAGCAGGAACAATAAGGTAATTAGTCAGTTTTTACTGTCATTCCTGTGTTAAATACTATTAAATATGACAGATATTGTTAAATCTAAAATAATTTCAGGGCAAATAAAGGCACAGGAAAGCTAAGAGTTTAAGAGTCGAGATACAGTATGGTTTGAATGGACTTTATTATGGATGAGCATCAGCTCCCCAGGGAACTGGTGGAGTCACCATCCCAGGAAATGGGACCTCTTAGCATAACTCAGGAATTTGCCCTTGGGAGCTGCCACACTGGGCAGAGGGATGCCGAGATATTTGGTGGCTCTGCTTGAGACCTGCTCCTGTCCAGCTTGTGTTGTTTCATGCGGAGTGATGCTTGTGAGGTGAAACTCTTTATTTTGTTCTTTGAGAGCTGGACTGAGCTGACAGCTTTTGTTCAGTGATCAGGTACCATTAGATGGCAGCATTTAGTGTAGTTTAAAATGTGGTCAATCTTCGGTGAATGAGGTGTCACACTTGCACACTTCTGCCCAGGGGTATTAAATTGATTGCAAAAACTTTAGAAAAAAGTCACAGACCACCACTTCCTTGACAGAAGCAGAGGGGAGTGGGTTAAGGCAGGCACCTGCCAAGAAGCAAATGGTGGGCTGTGTCCACAAGGTCATATGTAACAGCTGCCTCCCAAACACTATATGAGTTTTGAGCAGGCAGACATGGCCAAGGTGTTTTTATCTTCCTGCCCTGACAGCTGAGGGCTGCCACTTATCCCCTCTTTGACCAAAATGGAACACTCGCAGATAATCATCTTTGCCCGAGTAGCACTCAAAACAGATCCATCAAAGGGGCCAACACACACCAGAGAAACAAAACAAACTAGACAGTCCTTCTCAGTATCAGAAGCCTGGCAAGTGGGGCTGGGGCCGCCAACCCCTGTGGCCCAAGGATGGGCCCCACAGCAGCCCAGCAGAGCCAGGGCCCCCACACCAGTCCCCACCAGGAGAGACAGCTCTGAACAACTGCAGGGGAAGGAGGGGGGAGCAAAACTTCCCATACACAAAGGCCCCATCTCCGTCCTGACTGTTTCAAAGCCTCTGGGGAACACGCCTTTGCAGTCCACACCGCCACACTGAGCAAAAGTGGTGTCATCAGGGGTCGGGCTTGTACTAGGCCAATGTCTGCTGGCCTAGGCCTACAGTCAAATTCAGAGACCAAAGACTTCATCAAAATACTTCCATCCCACCTCCCTGGACCCCCAGAGGGATCCATAAAGGCAAAAGCTCAGGTAGGCAAGACTGTACCTGCACCCTGTTCCATTGGCCGCGTGCCAGCGGTGCGGGACACCAAAAGCTCCAGCTCCCGACCCTGCTGGCCAAAAGCCTCTAACGCTGCATGTTCCAAGCGTCGCGAACGCTCCAGGAATCGATTTGCTGCTCCCGGGCTGCTACTTGGCCCCACAAAGACACAATCTCCTGGTCCAGGGCTCCAAATCCGGTCAGCAGAACCCATCCCACCTGACCCGCCCCCATCACAGACCTCACAGCGAGCCAGGCTACCAGAAGAGACACCGTGGTGAAAAAGGCAGCTACAGAGGCTGAAGATGTCTCATGACACAGGGGGCCGGTGACATGGCCCCCCCAGTCCTTGATCTCCTCTGCAACCACTGCAGGGTTACTCTGGGGAACTGCCAATTCTACATCAAAAATGTAAAGTGAACGTACTCATGTATTCTTCCCAAGAATTCCAAGGCAGTGGAAGGATTAAAAAAAAGGTTTATTTCCGATACAAGTACCACATTTTTACGATGCAGTGCATCAGGCCTCCAGGGGAAAAAAGGTGAGTTCCTGCCCCCTTAGGGCCCCTTTTATTCTCTCTGTTTCTCCTCTGCCTTCCCAAGGCCTCTGTGTATGTCTGGACTATCTCCTCTCACGTATCAGAAAGAAAGGCTCAGAACTTCTCTTGCTATGCAGGGGGGAAAAGCATTGAAATTGCCTTGGAGAAAGAATTACCATTTAGGCAGAAAGCCTTCCTAGAAAAAAATGACTTTCTAACTTTCCGTCACAAATTGTTCCAAAATTGTATCTATCCCTACATATATCTTCATCAATGACACAGACAAAGGAATCAAGTGCACCCTCAGTAGATTTGCAGATGACACCAAGCTGACTGGTGCACTTGATACTCCAAAAGGATGGAATGCCATCCAGAGGGACCTGGATAAGCTCTAGAAGTGGGCCCATGTGAACCTCATGAGGTTTAACAAAACCAAGTGCAAGGTGCTGCACCTGGGACAGGGCAATGCCTGGTATCAATCCAGGCTGAGGGATGAATGGATCGAGAGCAGCCCTCTGGAGAAGGACTTGGGGGTGCTGGTGGGTGAGAGGCTGGACATGAGCCATCGATGTGCACTCACAGCAGAGACCTGATTGTGGCCTTCCAGTGCCTGAAGGGAGCCGACAGGAAAGATGGAGAGGGACTAATTACAAGTAGTGCTGTGTAGTGACAGGACAAGTGATGACAAGGGGGAATGGTTTCAAACTGACAGAGGGAAGGTTTAGATTAGATATTAGGAAGAAATTCTTCCCTGTGAGGCTCTGACACAGGTTGCCCAGGAAAGCTCTGGATGCCCAATCCCTGGAAATATTCAAGGCCAGGTTGGGTGGGACTCCAAGGAACCTGGTCTAGTGGAACAGGCAGGAGGGTTGGCACTAGGTGATCTTTGAAGTCTCTTCCTGCCCAAAACCATTCTGTGATTCTGTGGGGTTTTTTGTTGGTTTTTAATTTGTAAAGCTGTTTGGTATTACACAGTTTTTGTAAGTTGCATTCTTGACATGTTGAAGTTTAGACTTTAACTTTACAGGGAGCTACAGCAACAAATAGGTTTGAAACCAAGTGGCTAGGGCTCTTACATTAGTCATTTCATTGTTGTGTTATGTTGGGAGCCATGCAATAAAAGGTGAGATCTCATAAACTCTCTTAGCAAGACTGCAAGAAACGCTGAAAATCTTTCAGAGATTGTAGGAGCAATATTTTGCTTTTAGCATCTTACTCTTGAGAAATGAAAAAGCTTCAAGAATTCTAATACTGTTTTTCCAAACACTAAGAAGGAACAGAGGGAATAACTTGAATTTCAGGCACTGACATAATTTTCAGACTTCTTCAGTGTACATTAGATCATTAGGCAGAGAGCTACTTTGTGTAACAATGCATTTACTGTGTACTTCCCATAAAAGCTATTTCCTGTTGTTCTGTAAAGTCAATTAGCTATTTACCAAATACCAAATTTCATGCCTGTGCCCTTTCTTATTTCATTGTGGAGCATGAAAAAAGAGGAAATGTCAAACATGCAAATTAGTGTTTGGACAAATACACCATGTACTTTACACACTTAAATTATTTGCTAAGACAGTCCGATGTGCACCTTTTATTTATCTCACAGATATTTATTTGCCAAAGCCCCTCATTTTTTTCTGTGACAGACTCATGCCTTTAGATATTTTGCATGATATCAGTTTCTCTGTGTGTTCTTTTTGGTTTTATTGTGTATGTAATATTTAGTTATTCTGTGTTCCAAGTGTAACAAAGAAGATGGATTTCCCCACTCCTTTTCTCGTTTTTCTTTTTTTTTTTTTTTTGCCTGGTGTCCTTATTACTCTTGTTCCAGGGTTATGATATTTTGTAAGATATTCCTGGAATCTCATCTAGGTCTTGCAATTAGTCAGCCTGGAAATTAAGGAGAATCCCAAAGCTTCTGGCCAGCAATTGAATTAATTCAGCCCATGAAGGATGCCTTTGAGGTTGTATTGGAATAAATGCGTGTGCATTACTTAGAAATCACTCTTAATGGGATCTGCCAGAGGTTATAGTGTTTCCCAAATTGCGGGAATGGCATTCCCTGTATGCCAGTTTTGGTTAGGGATAGGAAGGAGGATTGCAAATTCTCTGAATTTGCAGCTGCAGTCAACAGAAATCTCCGCAAATAATTTTCATGGCGAGTGTATCCAATGCAAATGCTTGAATTACCAAAGAATATGAAATTTTATTGTGGAGCAGTGAAGTTCCTTCATGACATAAATTTGTGAGAAATATCATTTTTGAGCTGGAAGCATCAGAGTTAACAACTGTTACAGTGCTCCAGATCTGTGTTATAAAGAATTATTGCCCCATGCAAATATGTTATGAATTCCCTGTGTACATACGTGTTCATATATATATGTATAGCCAGGTGGAGATGCAACAACAAAGGCTTAAAGTGATGTGACACTAATATTTTTGAGTTTTTGAGAAGGCCAGAAGTGTTCACAAGTTGTTTTGGTACTTAATTGTCTGTCCTGTTAAATACTTGTTCCATTTTTTTGGTCCACATTTGACAGGTTTTAACTTCAACTTGAACACCCACCGAGCGTTAAACTCTCATTCATCTGTAAGTCTTTATGATTTTCTTTTGAGAAAACCTGTCTGTCATGGAATCAGTTGTTCAGGTTTATAACATGTAAACGGTTCCTCCTGTGTTTTGTGTGATTTTCTCTGTGAACGGTGATTTGAATTTGGTGGTTTTAATGGAGGATCATTGTCATCACTGTGTTTGTCTCAGACTCACTTGTGGTCAGTGCTGGCTAATGAACACTGAACCATAACCAGAAGGTGCAATAAACTCTGTAATTAGCAGTCATGATGTGTCTCTGTGAGACTCCTGACCTAAATTAAAACACTCAGAAAGATATTTATATGAAATTCAATAGAATTCTTCATGAGTGGATGACATGATTTAGTTGTGGATAGCATGACTTTGTTTTGCAGCATCCATTCCTTGAAAATATGAAATGTCTTTCTCAGGCTTGGGCAATTTTCTTTTCAACTGTTATGATTGAAGTTACTGGAAGTTTTCAGCCTGTAAGTAAAATGAGTTTTAGTTTTCCATTGAACTTTTGATGAATGTGTGTTTTTTCTCTGTAAGATACTTTCTTACTCAAACTTCCAGTGCTTGTGTGAATAATATGTGGATAGGCTATAGAATTAGGTCAGTATGCAAATTTCAGGATTAGATTTATAGATATGTAAGTTGATGATACTCTTAATTGAACTGATCTCAAGAACATACTCTTGTTTTCTGGAAAAATAACTTACACTGCAACTTAAAATGTCTTATTTTTGCTTGCCTCACAGAACACTTAGGGTTTTATTTCTTTCAAAGCCACTTTTAGTCTTTTCCTTCCCTGGTGGTACCTATCAAGCAAAGTGTTTGATCACTGTTCGTGTGTTTGCCTGCATTAGGGTGGCCTGGCTTTCAAGGACAGCATAATTCCTTCAGTAGAATTCTTCCAGCAAAACCCAGAGTAACTCCTTTATTGTCAGGAAAGTTTCATATCCCCCTCAATAAAGAAGAAAAAAAAATTAGAGAGTAATGGATTCTGTTGATGTAACTAAGAGCGATAACTGCAATTAGCACCAGGGCTTGCCATTAATGTGTTTGTGTTACTTTCCAATACCTGTTGCTAGCAGATCCAAGGATAAATGTTGTGGGGTTTTATAGTGTGATACTTATTTGTATTTTGGGCTCTGATCTTGTATATAAGAGATAGTATATTTGACTTTCAGATTTTGTCTGTAAAAGGTATAATGAACATACACAATAGGCTGGGAATAGTGAAAAATAGAAAAGATGGAATAAAAATGAATAGTATGTAATTCTAATTTCTAACCAAAAGCTTTTGCTACAAGGTAAATTTGGTGCCAGTATTTAATGTATGCCTGAAAATTCATCTGGTTAAAACCTCAGAATGAAAGGTGAAACAGGAAACCTTTTGCTTTCTTATATTTTACACATGTATTTCCAACTGAACTAAAATCCCTCTTTGCTTTTAATAAATGTAACTATAATTTCAGCAGAAAGAAAATAATGGATTCATATTTAGGTGATTATTTTTCCAAAGTATCACCCAAGCACTTTTCCCTTTTGTACTGTGTTGTCAGTGAGATCACAGAATTTCATTTACTGCTGTCAGAAATGTAACCAAGCTCCTCCCTCCATCCCTCCCCCAGGCATTGCAGTACATAAGAAAACTTTCTGCATGGGAGATGGCCAGGGAGCAAGGATGCTCCTGGGAACAGAATGGTGAAGGTGAGAAAACAAAGACTTTCTGCCTCTTTGGAGATAAAAGCCAGACAACATTAGCTTCAGAAAGCAGTGTGAAGGTTTTTTATTTTGAAGAGAATGTTGTAAGTATTTTGGTTTTGCTAAATATTTTTATACTCTGTGAAATCTAAATTGCCTATTTTCTTAATTTATGTGAATTTGACCAAAATATTCAAGGATGTGTTTGTACAATTGTGTGTCTATACGTATAAAAACATGTAGATATAGGTTTTTAAGTCTTAGATGTTGTTTATTTGAGGTACAGGGAGCAGCTGCATAAGAAAATGTGCCTTTAATGTAGAATCACTATATTGCTGTAAATATATAGCTCTTCCTATAACATCCATGTACCAGGAAAACATTTTACTAAATATTGATATATTTTTCATATTAATTACTGACTGCCTTTTGTCTTGTTTTATTGTTTCAGCTTATGCATGGCATTCCTTAAATCAGCTGTAGCACTGTTTAATCTTAGATATACTCATCCTGACATAGTGAATTTCCTTTACATACACAAGTCTGGAATGTTTTTCTTACAAAAATGCTGGTGGGTGATTTTTTTCAGAATATTTAAGGAGTGCACAGTGCAGCCTGTTGCATACATTTCAGATTTTGGAAGTAATGAGTGATTATATTATAGCATATTGTATTATATTGCATGTTATTATTTGGATATTTTGAATAACTTTGTATATTACATTTGTTAAAAAACCAAACCAAACAACAGCCCCCCCAAAAGAACCCCCAGAACAGTCCAGTGGTAAATATTTATCCAAACAATCCAAACACAAAGTTTTTCTTGGTTTGAGGGAGCAAGTGTGAAGTAGAGAATGAAGGACAAAGTGCTAGTTGGAAGAAACGGACATGAATATTTGAAACAGCAGTAGTCCTTTAGAATATCCAAGTTTGATTTTATAAAGGACTAAAATCTCTTAGATCTGCTGATAACTATTGAGATTTAAATAAAGAAAATTGTGATCAGAGAGCAGAAGTATTTAGTCTTTATGAAAACTGAGTAGGTGATAGCTGTAGCTTTTGGCAAGGTATTGTACAGCACAGAAAAGAGAGAATTCCTGTCCTGTTTCCTAAGGTGTTGCTCTGAGCTGTTTTCTCATTTTTTCTTATTCCAGATGAAGAGACGAACACATCTTTGTTCCCATGTGGAAGAATCCACTAAATGCATCCTAACACCAAACTAAGCAGTTAGTTTACTCTGGTTTTTTTCAGATCCAGAAAATATTCGGTGGGTGGCTCTTGAGAAGGGAATGGATAGAAATAAATTGGGGCTCACAAGTGGTTATAATACATGCTAAAACTAGATTGAAACATAAATAAGGGCATTTTTATGTTTGTGTTTCTTCTAGTTTTCCTATCTCGAGAAACTCCTCAAAATGTCCCTTACTGACTTTGCTTGTGTTTTACTGTGCAGTTCTATGAGTTTAAATTCCACTTTTATGGACTGTTGGAGATCTAATGGTCAATAGTTTGGTTGCTGCTACCTTGCCACACTTAAAAGGAACTCTTTGTGCTTTTAGGGAGCTGAAAGGAGTTTTGAAATTTGTATAAATGGAACCAAATCAAGGAGTTGTGTATAAGGCTTGAATTTGTATTTTGTTTTTCAATCCAAAAGTCTAAATGTGTAACTTATCACCTCTAGTGATAAGTCATTGCCCCAGGAAGCATCTTGTAAATTGTGTCTCTGAAACATTGTATTAACAGATTCAGTTTTTGGCATTACTTTGCTATTCTAGAAAATTATCCTAAACCCCAGCTTTTATCTTAAGAAATTTTAATAGCAAATTGTACTTTAGTAGTGCCCAGTGTCTGCTTCATTTAATGACTTGTTGTTCACCCCTTTCTATTGCTTTGCACGTCATTTGTTCAGTAAATTTGATCAGTCTCTGTGGAATTCCTCAGGTAACACTTTACCTCAGTGTCTTGACTTAAAAATTCAGCTGATTCAGCAGCCTATGACGAGGTGGCTGAGTTCAGCTGAGCTTCAGGAATTCTGAGTAGTCACTCTGTCTTTTTAAAACGATTTAGCCACCTGTATCACAAGGATTTTTTTCAGTCACATATTCTTAGCTTCCTCTTTCCTAACCCAAGTCATAATCTGTAAATACTTGGCAGCTGTTGAAAGGCCAAAAAGTTTGTTGTTCTATATGAGCACTAGTATGTGGCTGGTACAGGTCTGTTGAAGAAATCCTCTCACTTTGTCCATGAATGCTTGGCCAATTATGACTTCTGATCACTGTTGCTGAAGGTTTTTTTGCTCTTGATCACTGCTTTTGTCAGATTCAATATTCACTTTTTTTTCAAAAATTCATCTCCCAAATCCTTAATACTAAAACAATGTTTGTATTTGCTAAAACTTTTTCCTTTGCTTCATTCATTACAGTCAAAGTAGTTCCCTAAAAGCTCAGTCTCTCTGTTGTCCTTAAAATTGCTTTGAAGAGCAAATTGATCATATTAGAATTAAATAAAAGTTAAAAAAAAAAAAAAAGAAAAAGCATCTTGATTTTCACTTTATCTTTTGAGCTTTCAACTGGAAATGGGTCTGGGTGGTTTGGCAACATACCAGTTCTTTGGTTCCATTTTGTTACCATGGCAAATTCTAATCTCTGAGCTGTGGTTTCTGATCAGATCTGAACTCACTTGTAAAGTCCCAGAGGAGGAAAAGAAAAACCACCCAAGTCCCATAAACCCAAATAAAATGGTTGCACAATCATTCTTGCTTGTATATTCTTTTTAAAGGAATTTATCAGCTTCTGAAGAAGAGTCCTGTAATTACAGGAGGGTATTGATTCTCTTACATGGTCCACATATGAGCTCACAAAACAGAAGTAGCACAGCTGGACCTCAGCAATCAAAAATGCAATATTTTAAAGACTCGGTGGTGACCAAAGCGTTTATTAATTTGGAGTAATCAGTCACAAAGGACAAGTCATCCTGTCCTGTAGTGAGTCAATTTTTTTTCCATCTTTCGCATAAATTGCTGTCATCTACAATAGTGTGATAAATTCAGACATTAGTAACTGAACAGTTACAGTAAATTCCCCTTGAATGTTCTCAAAATGCAACTGCAGAAAGCCTTCAGCCAAATTCTATGTTGGCCTTGCTTTGTGGAGGGGAAGGATCTGATGAGCCTCGGGGACCTTTCCAATTCCACTATTCTGTGATCACATATAAGCAACAGGGGTGGGAGATGCAGAACTAAAATCTGTTCTCAGGAAGTACAGAGAGACAGTAACTGAGGTGCAAGTCTGTTGATACTTTAAGCATCTACAGAGAAAAACAACTTGATGGCTGTCAGAGTTCTGATAGAGATGTGATTTTGTCACTTCCTAGCTGGAAAGGAAAAAGTATCACTTCTGTAACCTGAATTACACAGGGTAGATCCAGAATCAGGTGTTGATCTTTGTTGGGTTTGTTTTACATTACTCTTTCTTTTAAATGAATGAGCTTCTAGTTGGTTTTGCCTTATATCCTGGGTGCATCAAACAGAGCAAACACAGGGGTGGCCTCACATGGGGCACAGCGTGCGATTCTGGGCCCCACAATTTAGGAAGGATGTGAAGGTCCATGAATGCACCCAGAGGAGGGCAAATAAACTGGTGGGAGGGCTGGAAGGAATGTCCTGTGAGGAGGGGCTGAGGGCTTTGGACTTGTCTAGTTTGGAGGAGGCCAAGGGGTGACCTCAACACTCTCTACAGTTTCCTGAGGAGGGGAAGTGGAGAGGGAGGTGCTGAGCTTCTCTTCCTGGTATTCAGTGACAGCATGTGTGAGAATGGTACAAAGTTGCACTGTAGGGGGTTTAGATGGAACATTAGGAAGCATTTCTTTATCAAGAGGGGGTTGAACCCTCTAACAGGCTTTCTAGAGGGGTGATCAATGCCCCAAGCCTGTCAGTGCTCAAGAGGCACTTGGATGTAGCATTTGGGTTCACACTTGGACACTGAGTGCCCTTATTAGCAGGCTTTAACATAGGCCTTGTCACATGAAAGGCAGGAGGCAATTCGCCCAACCATTAGAGAGGGGAGATTTTCTTGACCCACAGGGGTTCATTTGACTCTTAGTGACCCAGGGAAAATGAAACCATGTATATCTGATCAGTCTGTCAGATATCCCACAAGGGGACTTCACCAAACAAGATTCACAAGATTCTCAAGATCAATTGCCTTTATCGGGGAAGGCCCCTCAGTGGGCCTTCCGAGTGTTGTTCCGCCGCTGGCAAACTGTCAGCACTTATAAAGGGCTCACCCTAACAGTTCACAGAAGAACACTCTTTTTAATACAAATCGTGGCAGGTTAATAAGATTCATAGGTCGTCAGTGATAGTGTCTACTTGCAAAAACACATTAAAAACAATCTAACAGTGCTATAAAGCAAGCACAAACACAAAGTCTAATACAAAACAATCTACCAATATATTAGGGAGCATATTATCCAGCAGTATTGATGGAAATCTTCCTCCAACCATTCTCCATTTCCAACTTTGTTTTATACTATTTCTTTAAGTTTAGGTGGAATTTGAGTGAATCTAGTCATAAATACTTAATTGGGTAGCCATCCTTGGCATCTGTCTTCCTCGGTGGGCAGATATGACACTGGTCCTTGAACTACAAAGTGTCACCATGTTTCCCTTCCTGCGGGATCTTTATGGAGGGAGGCTGTAGTGCCTTCATGTTACTCCCTTCTCCGTTTCATCCCACATAACAGGTGCTTATCGCTGTTTTGGGGAACTATTGTGGGGCATTGTGACCATGCTCCATTCAGGAAGCAGCAGCTGACTCTTCTCTGTAATTCTTATTCTCTTTTAATTTTTAACCCTATCCATTACCCCACAGGCCTGAATTACTCAGTCGGTTGCACTGGATGGTTGTTGCGGGTCCCTTTCAACTGAAATAGTCCATTCCTATTCTACTCCATTCTATTTTCATGCAGGGTTTCATACAAGAAATACTTTATCTAATAGATAGTAGTTTAAAACTGTGTATTATTTCTGTTATTTTCTAATTGTTCATAGCTTTTTTTCTGAAATTGCCTCTAGCACTGGAAACAAACCTTCAGAAAGAAAAATGGATCGCTGGTGTTGGCCATCAGAAACTAACAGCTTTCGACGTTTCACCCCTGAGTCCTTGGCAGCAATTGAGCAAAGAATTGCTGAGAAAAAAAAGCAACCAGACAAAGAAAAAGAGAAGAATAAGTACCAAGGAGTTGAAGAAGAACAACTTACTCCCCAGCTTGATTTGAAAATCTGCAAAAAGCTACCATCCCTTTATGGGGACATTCCATCAGAGCTCATTGGGGAACCCCTGGAGGATTTTGATCCGTACTACAGTGA